GAAGCTTTTCTTCTCTCTCTGTTTTTTGCTCGTGTACACTAACTAACTAATCTCTGTAACAAACACATAACCACCTTTTTAAACTGTTAATGACGTGTACCTTACCCACTTGGGCTTAGGCTTCAAACAAGCTTGGCCCAGCTTGAGATGGAGGTTAAGAGGCTTTGGCCCATGAGTGAGGAATGGTCGGAACACAATCACAAGTGGCAGAGAGCGGTAAATAAGTTTGATATCCTGTCAGATGTAGTTCAAACACTATATAACGACCAGATTCAGAGAACAAGACTATGATCTAGTGTTTGGAGACTAACGGCGAAAAGATGGGTGAAATTCATGATTTCTGTCATTTATTTTGTTTTCAGTGATCAAGGTGATTATGTAAAGTGTGTAGTTTGATGATATAATCAAAACAAATGAAAAAACAGCAAAAGTTGGTAAGTACTAATCGAAATAAACAAAAAGTCCACTAGCTCTTACTCTAAAAACGTTGCGGTTTGGCGCGTTTTAGAATGGTTAGAACAATGTGAACAAAACAGATTAACTCTCATTTCTCGAATCTACAGGTTCTCATGATTAGCTGAAGCACCTCAAGACATTTTCCATAGGAAGTCTTTCAGTTTCGGGCTTGTACTTGATATCTTTTTCCACCGAAGTACTTGATATCTTTTTGATAGTAGTGGATGACAACTTAGAGGAGGTGTGATCTCAACCTATTGTGCATATGTTGTTAAAGAAAAGTGATACCTTTTTAGTAGTTTTTTAACAGGTTGTGTGTACCCAAATAAAAAAGTCTTCATTATGTTGATTAGATACATATATGTGCAGGGCCGGTCCTAGGCACAGCCCAATGAAACATTGGCCTTAACCCCAAAATTTAAGTGGCTTATTTAGTGCAAGAAAAATCCATAAATATTTAATATATAGATAATTGTATACGGATTTATGATTGTAAATATAAGGAATTTTAGGCATTTTCCAATTATATGGGCCAATGAAACATAAAATCAATAGCCTAAAAGAAAAATATCCATAAACGAAAAAAACTTTTTTTTCAATTTTTTCTTCTATTTCTCGTCACTCGCCAATTTTTTTTTTTTACAAAACTATACTATGAGTGACCCCATTTTTTTATTTTGTTTTTGGCCCAATAATATTCAGGGCCAGCCCTGTATAGTGGTACCATAATTGTGATGAGATGATACTAAAACACAAAACTGAAGTTTCATGAGACGATTCACACAAATTAGTGGGACGACATGTGTTTGAAGAGGCAAAAAATTGTTAAGTGGAAATGAGTACTGCGGTAGCTACTAAATCCTACAAAGAAAGAGAAAACCCCAAAAGTCCCCAAGTTTGAAACCTCAAAGCGTTTTGACAAAAAAAGAAACCTCAAAGCGTAAGGTTTCTTTAAAAGAGAGACACATGACAATCTCGGATGTGCTAGAGAGAGATTTTTCGTAAGCTAGTGATTCCATGATAGATTCTCCTTTATATAAAAGGGAAAGATTTTGAAGATTCTCAAGGCCTCTACTTAGGTATAAATATTGGGAGAAATAATCAGCCAATGAGATTAAAGCCATATAAAAAATAAGCCACATCAGCATCAGCATCAGCATCATTGGTACACAGAGTTGATGAAGCCTTCTACCGAGGTTTGTTCGACGCTGACGCTTTCACCGTTTTACCATAACGTTTCAGTATCTCAGTTTCTCTTTCTCCGATTTCTGATTTATCCAAATGCATAACGTCTCTTTCTCTTCTCCAAATGGACCTATTTATATTCTCATCTCCGATAACAACAATATCGTCAGTTTATCATCTTTCCTCATGCAGTCGCTGAAAAAGGTTAGGTCTTTCTCTGAAACATCTTGTAGATATGGGTTTATCTCCTAATTAGGGTTTACAAATTCATGTGAATTTATAGAGGAAAACAAAGCAAACAAAAATAGAAGTGACGCCTTTAGCCTGCAAAAGTAGAAAAGACGTTCTCAAGTCCCCAATGAATCTCACGACCCTTCATCAAGCAACCGTTTTAGAGTTAAGATCGTCTCTCTCCGATTTAATTTTAACAGGTTTCATGAGATCCAAATAGATCATTTCTTATTTAAGAAGATAGATCCTTATTCCTTTATAACGGCGCAATTCTCTCCCCATTAGTTTCATTGTCTTTGATCAAGCTGATTTTTGAGTTAAATATATTTTTCTTGAGTCAATATGAATGTGTTACTTTGGCAGATGCAACAAGCTGTAAAAAACATGGCTTATTGCTTTGGTATGACTATTGTAGACAAGGTTCGTTACATATAACCACATACTACTATCTGATTTTGACTTTTCAAACCCATTATCATATATACATATAGTCTTATAGATATACATCTGTTGATTGCTATGATTTCTTCCTCAAAATCTACTAGTTTTTATTATATTATCAAAGCATCGTTAACAATGATACAAAATGGGTATCAATACATTAAAGTGGATTATAATAAAAAAAATGACTCAAATCCCATGAAACTATGCGAATATGACTAGAATACCATATATCTTTCAAAAATGACTCAAATATTTTCACACCC